AGGAGGATGAGGAGGTCCGAAAAGATGCTGCTTTCGAGAAGACACCAGCCGATGTCACCATTGCCGAGAAGAGTGCTGAGAAAACTTTGCAAGAAATTGATGCTGAGCTTGCTTTAGAAAAGGCGGCCGAGGTGGCTTCTCAACAGCCTTCCGAGGTCCAAACCGAGCCTGTTGCCGATGTTGAGGAGTCTTAATTTCCATGTTTTTTCTTTTGTACTTTATTTTTCTTTGTTTTTGAAACAATGTAAGCCCTCCGTATGGCCGATGTTTCTTTCTCTTTGTTGAATGCTAATGCAACTTTTGCATGTACTACTGTCTTCTTTTGATTGCTTTTGTGTGATTCTATACTTAGAATATTCTGTATGTCTTTAACATATTCTTCCTTCTCTGTGCAATCTTCTCGGGGTGACATACCTTGGATAGACAATCTTCTCGGTTTAACTTAACTTGTAAACTTTTAACAAGTGTTGAACATCATACTGGTTTAACTCAACTTGTAAATTGTCCTCAAATTTCAACAAATGTTAAACAATTGATTTCGGTTTAACTTAACTTGTAAATTGTCCACAAATTTCAACAAGTGTTAAACAATGATTTCGGTTCAACTTAACTTGTAAATTGTCCACAAATTTCAACAAGTGTTAAACAAATGATTTCGGTTTAACTCAACTTGTAAATTGTCCACAAATTTCAGCAAGTGTTAAACAAATGATTTTGGTTTAACTTAACTTGTAAATTGTCTACATATTTCAACAAGTGTTTAAACAAATGATTTCGGTTTAACTTAACTTCTAAATTGTCCACAAATTTCAACAAGTGTTTAAACAAATGATTTCGGTTTAACTTAACTTGTAAATTGTCCACAAATTTCAACAAGTGTTAAACAATTGATTTCGGTTGAACTTAACTTATAAATTGTCCACAAATTTCAACAAGTGTTAAACAATGATTTCGGTTCAACTTAACTTGTAAATTGTCCACAAATTTCAACAAGTGTTTAAACAAATGATTTCGGTTTAACTTAACTTGTAAATTGTCCACAAATTTCAATTAGTGTTAAACAAATGATTCCGGTTTAACTTAACTTGTAAATTGTCCACAAATTTCAACAAGTGTTAAACATATTCTTCTTCTCTCTGCCCTCTAATGTGAACCTGAGTTCCACTTGGGTTCTCATTATGCATGTATTCTGGAGACAATGTCAAGTATCTTGAAAGGAGAACTGAATCTTTATTTATTTACTTCGGCAAATGGCAAAGGAACAAAGAAATTCTAATGATAGAAAAATTTCAAATTACAAGTGTTCCAAGGTCTTGGCAACTCTTTGCCCTCATTATCTTCAAGCCGATATGCCCCATTACCCAATACCGAGATGAGTCTGTAGGGTCATTCCCAATTTGGGCCAAGCTTGCCTTCTCTGGGATCCTTCTTATTGCCGACGACTTTCCTCAGGACTAGGTCGCCGACTTGAAACTCTCTTGGATTGACTTTCTTGTTATAAGTTTTTGCAAGTTGCTGCTGGTATGCTGCAAGCTGGATTGCAGCTTTCTCTCTTCTTTCTTCTAAAAGATCCAGATCTCGGGCTAAGAGTACATCATTAGTCCCGTTTTCTACTCCCTGAGTTCTGATTCCTGGGATGCCGATCTCCAGCGAAATGACTGCTTCTGTGCCATAAGCCATAGCGAAGGGGGATTCTCCTGTTGATCTTCTCGGCGTAGTCCGATATGCCTAGAGTACATTGGGCAATTCGTCTACCCACTTGCCTTTTGCTGCCTGCAGCCTCTTCTTTATTCCATCCAAAATTACTTTGTTAGATGCTTCTGCTTGTCCATTACTTTGTGGAAAGCTTAGGGTTGAAAAGTAGTTTTTGATCTTGAACTTTGCACAGAAGTTTTTGATTAGCTTGCTGTCAAATTGAGTTCCATTGTCTGCAACAATTGCTCTCGAAATCCCAAATCTGGTGATGATGTTTCTCCATATGAAGTTTTTGACATCCACATCTCGAATCTTGGCAAGAGGTTCTGCTTTTATCCATTTTGTGAAGTAATCTGTTGCTACCAGCAAGTACTTTCTTTGTCCAGTTGCTTGGGGTAATTGACCAACGAGATCCATGCCCCATTGGGCAAATGGCCAAGGACTGGATACAGGGTTCAGGTCAGCAGCTGGCTGGTGTATCAAAGGTGCAAACCTTTGGCATTGTTCACACTTCTTCACGTAGGCTTCTGTGTCTTTCTACATGTAAGGCCACCAATATCCCTGGGTAATGGCCCTGTGAGCTAGTGATCTGCCCCCAACGTGGCTTCCACAAATTCCTTTATGGATTTTGTATAAAAAATCTTCAACCTGCAAAGGGTGTACGCACCTTAAAAGGGGTCCAGTGAAGGATCTTCTATAAAGGTGTCCCTCTGCTGTTAAACTGAATCTTGCCGACTTTAATCTGATCTTGTGTGCCTCCTTGCGGTCGTCTAGCAGTTTTCCTTCTTTTAGGAACGCAACAATTGTGTCCATCCAGCTTGGTCCCATATCTACGCACATTGCTTCATGCTCTGTGGTTGCTGGTTCAATGCTCGGGCCCGACAGGTAGTCAATCATTATTGTCCTTGCTTTTCCAGGTTGTACTGCACTAGCTAAGTTGGCCAATGCATCGGCGTGGTTGTTATCATCTCGACTTACCTGAAGTAGTCGGCAGTTCTGAAACAAGGATAATAGTTTGATAACTTCCTTTACGTAGGCCGACATTCGTTTATCTCGGGCTGCAAACTCGCCTGTTGTCTGGTTAACTATTAGTTGTGAATCACAAAAAATTATTACCTCATCTGCTTGCACTGTTGCTGCCAACTTCAGTCCTGCAATGAGTGCTTCATACTCTGCTTCATTGTTTGAGGCCTTGAACCCCAAATGAATAGACTGTTCTAGTACCTGCCCATCTGGGGATATCAATACTACTCCTACCCCCACTCCTTGTCAGTTTGAACTTCTATCAACGAACAATCGAAATGAGTCGCTGATGTAAATGCTGCAGGGTTTGAGTTTTTCTTCTTTCTTTTGTTCTTTTGCCTTTGCCTGGGCTTCTCCTTGCTTGGTTGGATATCGCTCATCCTAGCTCAACGGAGCCCGATGTTCGATGGATTCTGGTGTGAACTCGGCCACGAAGTCGGCCAGAACCTGGCCTTTGATTGCTGTCCTTGGCCTGTACTCCAAGTCATACTGGCCTAGGGTGACTGCCCACCTGGCTATTCTTCCTGTCAGGTCTCCTTGTTGCAATAAAGACTTCAAGGGGTGCTCTATTAGCACCACAATTTTATGGGCCTGGAAGTAATGGTTCAACTTCTTTGAAGCCATTACTAAAGCTAGTGCTAATTTCTCTAAGGGTAGATATCTCATTTCTGCATCGACTAGGGTTTTGCTTACATAGTAAACAGCCCTTTGCTCTCCTTTTTCTTCTCGGATTAGTACTGCACTTATTGCATGTTCTGAAACGGCTAAGTACAAAAACAGCTCCTCCCCTAGTTCTGGATTTGAAAGAACTGGAGCTGTGGTCAAGTACTTCTTTAGGTAAGCCAAAGCAGCTTCGCATTCTTCTGTCCACAAGAAGTCTGTGGCTTTCTTCACCAAGTTGAAGAAGGGTCTTCACTTATCTGAGCTTCTGCTGATGAATCTGTTTAGGGCTGCGGCCCTTCTAGTTAGCATCTGCACCTGTTTTGCCGACGTCGGGCTTTTCAACTCTAGGATGGCTTTGATTTGATCTGGGCTGGCCTCGATCCCCTTTCTAGTCACCAGGTATCCTAAAAACTTACCAGATCCAACTCCAAATGCACACTTCGATGCATTGAGTCGGAGCCGATATGTTTTAAGGATTTCAAAGATTATTTTTAGATCGGCAAGATGACCCTCAGGCTCCTTGGTCTTAACGACCATGTCATCGATGTAGACTTCTACTGTTCAGCCAATCGGGTGTTTGAACATTTTGGTTACCAGCCTTTGGTAAGTTGCTCCTGCGTTTTTCAACCCGAAAGGCATTACTCTATAGCAGTAAAGCCCTTTGGGAGTGATAAACGCAGTCTTCTCTTCATGGCTATCTGATGGTACCCCCTGTATGCATCCAGGAAGCTCATCATTCCATGCCTGAAGTGGCATCTACCAGCTGGTCAATCTTGGGTAGAGGAAAGCTGTCTTTGGGACAGGCTTTGTTCAGGTTAGTAAAGTCTACGCAGACCCTCCATTTACCATCCTTTTTCTTTACCACCACTGTGTTTGATAGCCATATCGGGTAATCTACTTCTCGAATGGCCTTGGCCTCAAGAAGTCTGTCTACTTCCTCCTCCACTGCTTCGACGTGTATCGATGTCAGTCTTCTTGCTCGTTGGACTACCGGTTTAGCCGACCTGTCGACGTTCAGTTTATGGCAAGTGATCTCGGGGTCAATACCAGGCATTTCGTAGGGTGTCCACACGAACACCTCAATATTTGCTCTTAGGAAAGTTTCTATCTCTCTTTCTTCTTCTTCGTCTAGGCTCGAGCCGAGAAGAAAGAAGCTTTCCTCATTACCCTCAGGAATGCAACAATTGCATCCATCCAGCTTGGTCCCATGTCTACGCACATTGCTTCATGCTCTGTGGTTACTGGTTCAATGCTCAGGCCCGATAGGTAGTCAATCATTATTGTCCTTGCTTTTCCAGGTTGTACTGCACTAGCTAGGTTGGCCAACGCATCGGCAAAGATATATGATCGGTTCGTGGAAGAAAGGTCCCGCGAAAATAAGGGGGTGGCCAGGTGAAGGTGAACAATATATGGTTGTAGCAAGTGATGAAGTTGGAATTTCACGACGATTAGCGATGCATAGCTGCGGCCAACCCAACAACACTGCTAACAACACGGGGATAACTCATATTTATGTGTTAAGGAGTTATGAAGAGTATGGTTTCGATTGGGGCGAACAACACATACTTGATGATTGTCGGAGATGGGATTTAACAAGACTGTAATTACAGGGAAACCATCTTAGCGGTGGGTTTGATGGGGTGGACTACATATGGTTCTGCAACAGTTTGGTTAAGTTGAGAACTCTATTATCATTTAGATTGACCTCTAATCTCACTTCAACCTAATTTTTTACAATCATAATTTATATTGTATATATATATGTATACAGGAATTTAATAGACACTTAGGTTATAAATTATTTAGAGAAAAAACTCTTAGTCAATAGGCCCAAAACTTTAAATCTTTTTAACCCAAAAAGGACACTATTTGTCCAAAAATGTTCATAGGCTGACCTATTTTG